TAGCTGATTGTACTTTTTGTCTTATAGTAGAAATTGCATCCTGGCTTATTATATGCTGATCATATGTTTCCCTTAGTTCTCTAAACTCTTTTTTTCACTTTTTGAAATCAGAGGAAAGTGCAAACACAATCCCTCCCTACCACAAATTATGCTGCCGAGTTTCCCACATTTGGGGAAATCTCAGGAATTGGCACATTCAGAGCACAATGCATAAGTCTCACTCTGGGAAAACTATCTTCCCTGCCAGGTTAAGTGAGTATAGTTCTCTGAACTCTTTACTGCAGCATCCTCTAAAATTCAAGCGGCTTACAAATTCAGCAAAGGCAAGTCATTAGTCACCTTACCAAAAACTCTCAAATACAATTATGGAAATAATGGTCAAATCCCATTACAGCAAATGTAATACAATGAAAAAGCTCGCCAAAATAAAATTTCCCAAACTCTGGTTAACCTTAGCATAGGTTCTGGTAGTTCAACCAGATATTGAAAGGGGGTGGCCTTGCAAAAATAACAGGAAAATACCTAATCCCACGATTTCCCCAGTAACAGTTAAAGATCAATCCTATGAGTTCTCTCACTAACAGGCACCCTGCAGGAGTTCTGGAATGGCCAGCCAGAGCAGGTGTGCCCAGGCGAGAGAAATGGAGACAGAGAAGAGGAAGGAGGAACAGGGGATCCAAAAGAGAAACATCATCTGGAAAGTGAAGGAAACGAGAGAGATGCAGGAGTAACAGGTAACACAAGGCAGGCAGAGTGAAGACCAGAAAGACTAGCAAGTTTAAAGAAAGCTTGAAAGTAGAGGACTTTAGATTCTTCGCTGGCCAGCGGTGACAAAAGGTCAAGTACCCTCACACAGAGATTCATTCTCGGGCCAAATTTCCTGGTCATTTAACTTACTGAGCATTTAGGATGGGGGTCAATGAGTCCTAAAGTTCTGACCGAATGTTGCTCATGTCAGCAACTAGGAGAAAGAAAAGGACCTTTTGGGGATGGTCACATGTTGCCAGAAGTCTGAGAGGGCATCCTCAATTCAGGTGACTTGTTGAAGGTTTGATCAGACATCAGGCATCCCCCAAAATCTGAGTTAGAACAAAACGTAGTGATCTGGGCTAGAGAACGGACATCCCTGACCTCTGACTCAGATTGTGAATTTGAAGTCTTCCCCATAGCCAGACGTCCCTGGGTCTGGGTGAAGAGCAATGGGGACAGTGCCCCCCTGGGAAAGAGTGGTTAGGAAGCATTCCTCCATGACACCCCCCTCCCCAGTGGTAGATCCAACACTGGGGTTTTACTTTGACCAAACCAAATCAAACCTTGAAGCTACCACTCACCACCTTGTGCCTATGACCATTCCCAAAGTTTCCAGAGACCAAATGACTCACCAAATTCTATACGATTTGAGGACACCGAGAGGGATGTCCTAGGAAATGCAGCAGAGGACGGAGAAGTTTCAAGACTGAAGCAGCTCCACTCTCCTATCCCCGCCTCCCCACCCCCTGTAGGAGATAAAAATATGAGAGAATGAGACAGTCCCCTCACAGGGGAGAAAAGTGACTTCTCCCCATGTAGAGGCAAAGAAAAGTCCTCATACAGAGGCAGAGAAATGATTTTCCTTATACAGAGGTAGAGAAGTGACTCAGTTTCCCTGTGACTCAGTTTCAAGTCCCTGTGCCAAGGCAAAGAAATAATTTGCCTTTGTCCTCATGCAGGGCACCAGATGTTAGGGGTGGAAAGTCTGGTAGGTGTTCATGATGAGGGTGGAGAAAAATTTCTCATGCAGAAATTAAGATATAAAGGTAAAAAAGTTTTTTTTATACTTTAGAAAGACAGAGAATGGGGGGTGGTGGGGGAAGAAAGAGAACAGGAAGATGGTGTGGCATCCCGAAGCAAGAGAAGGGGATGCCAGCAGTGAGGCCAAGTGGCTTGCTGATTTTAAGGGGGACAAAGAGAAAAAAAAATAGTGATGGCTGTCAGTTGATAACAAAAGTGGTAGCAGGTACATAACAAAAAACGGTAAGGATGTCAAAGTCCAAGATTTTGTTTCCTGCCTTTCCTTGGAGAAGGGATTATCGCAGGATATGTGACTCTGTCCTCGAGATATGGTTGAGGCTTGGAGCTTATTCTCCTGCTGTTTACTCATGAATTCTGTAAAAGCAGATTCTTAAAAATCAATTTTGAAAAAGAGAGATTTATATCTCTTTTCTGTCCATTCAGCTCTTTTCAGAAGTTGTGCAAAACAGAACTCCTGTAGGGTGCCTGTTAGTGAGAGAACTCATAGGATTGATCTGTTATTGGGGAAATTGTGGGATTAGGTATTTTCCTGTTATTTTTGCAAGGCCGCCCCTTTCAATATTATGCCTCCCTGGGGGTATAGGGGAAGTGCTTTTGACTGCAGATATTATGCCTCCTGAAGTGAGGCCATATGCAGTTCCCAACATTACCTAGGATGTACTATAGTCGAAAAGGTTTCAGCTGAATTCATCAAACCTTTAAATCTAACTTTAAGTTTACAGGTAATGCCAAGCATAGAAGAATAAGGTAAATGACACCATAAAGAAGCAAACAGACAAATCCAGAAGGTGGGTATTCTGCAGGACAATTGGCCTAGTTCTTCGATTAGTGTTATGAGGAAAAAAATGACTGCTAAATTCAAATTGAATTAATGTATATAACCAGATGCAATTTGTGGTCCTGGATTGGATTCTTACTTGGAAAAAATAGCAACAAAGAACATTTTGGGACAACTGGGGAATTCTAAATATGAATTTTATTAGATGAAATGAAAATATACTGACATGGAAAGGTATAGATAATGTTAACTGAAAAGAGATTATAAAATGGCATATATAATTTGCTTTCATTTTAATAAAATATGCATGCATATAGAAAAAGATCTGGAAGAATACATAATAAGGTGTTAACGGTGGTAATCTCTGGGTGGTACAAATATGGCATAAATACAATAATATAATACAATGTTTTCTTATTTGTATTTTCTATTTTTTCTTCCTAACTGCTTTGAAGTAAAAGTTATTTTTTTTTTTTGAGACAGAGTCTCACTCTTTTGCCCGGGCTAGAGTGAGTGCCGTGGCGTCGGCCTAGCTCACAGCAACCTCACACTCCTGGGCTCAAGCGATCCTCCTGCCTCAGCCTCCCGAGTAGCTGGGACTACAGGCACGTGCCACCATGCCCTGGCTAATTTTTTCTATATATTTTTAGTTGTCCAATTAATTTCTTTCTATTTTTAGTAGAGACGGGGTCTCGCTCTTGCTCAGGCCGGTCTCGAACTTCTGAGCTCAAACAATCCTCCCACCTCGGCCTCCCAGAGTGCTAGGATTACAGGTGTGAGCCACCATGCCCAGCTGAGAAATTATCTTTGGAAGGGTAGTCTAGAAACTGGTAACAGTTATTACCTCTGAGAATGGAAATGAGGGTCCTGAGGGAGGTGTACGTCTTTTATTGTATTTCCTTTTTATTTTATTATTCTATTTTCTTACTAGTTATGTGTATTAGTAGTTTTATGTATTATGTTTTCCACAAGGGTAATTAAATTCCTTTTGTGGAGCTTTCCCTAAGGGATGAGAGTTTCTCATTTGAATGGGAAGGGACAAGAGGGGTACAACTGGAGAATCAGGATGGACCAATTACTGAAGACTTTCCTGATTCCCTGGAATTACCCCTCAGCACATGATAAATCTATATGTGAGCTTATTTTAAGATTATGAGGTGAAGGCTTCCATGGAGGTAAAGAAAGAAAACAGATAATCTGCTTTGCTTCTAAGCACTTAGACACTTATTTCAGGGCGAGAGATACAAATTTTCCAGATCTATTATGTCCTACACTCAGTGGTTTATCTTAAGAAAGTGTAGTTTGACTTTGGGCTCATAATGGCAGCAATAACAGATGTGCCATTTACAGGATAAAACATTTTCACTTTTTAAAAATTTATAAGAATTTATCACTTGATTGTTCACAGTCAGTTACAGATTGAACTCCTTGTTCTACCACTTAACCCC